CAAACGCAACATTTAAATGCACATTTACATGTCTGGTGTAGCTGTATGCGCGAAGATGCTTGCCACAGTTTGCTAATTTCCAGAGGATCAGGGCTCAATTCCCATTACAACCAGCATGGAATTTAAATATTTTTTGAACTTAATTATGAAAAAGCAATCAGTAATTGCAAATCGCTTCATTTTAATATGGGCGTATTTGAATTGAATATTTGTATACTAAATACTAAAATTTTTATACTTAAATGTATTACGAGTTGGGTTGGCGCTCTTTCATATGCGTATTTTTATACCCGAGCGCACTTGTGCACAAGGGTATTATAACTTTGTTCACATAACGGTTGTTTGTAACAGGCAAAACGAATCGAGATAGATATAGACAAATGTATACATAAAAAATCATGTCGCCATCGACAAAGCGTTTAGACAATGAAGATAACAAATAGGAACCTGTGGCCCGTAGCTCGTCGTTTTTAATGTGTTCAGAACTTAAGGCGCACTTTACAAATCGGAGGAGAATCTCGGCCAAACATTAACATATTTTTAACAACACGTAGAGATTGAGGTGTTGTCTTAAAATACCGAGGTCGCGGGTTCAAATTCCACCACATGCAATCCTAACTATATTATACATTTCTGCTCTTAAAAGCCCAATTTATATCGGGAAGAATTGTTAATAACATTATCCCTGTAATGTGAGTGTTGCGAAGACATTAATAGTAATACGAACCTTGTTATAAAATTAAGGTGCATTGAAAAAACCGCGTGTCTTTTCTTTAAAAATTCAGAATTCAAGAGAGTTTATTACAAAAAATACAATTCTCAGTTATCATTACAGGGTTGCAAAAGGTAAAACAATTCAATGTTCAGTACAACATTACAGGGCTGCAAAAGTTGGTAGGAGAGTAAAAAACTATGCGATAATATTGAACAGTGAGTTTATTACATTCGATACGATACTAGGGTTCGGGTACTCGATTCCAAAAAATATCTTTTTAAAAATATCGAGTAGAAAATATCGGTATCGAATGCCAAAAGTATCGATATGGTATCGTATCGTATCGAAATTCGTGTCCCTACATAGCGCTACTATTCTTGGCAGATGTGTGAGGAGGATGCCGCTTTTTAGTCGTTTCAATTTAAACTAAAGATGTTTACTTTACAGGCTGCTTTTGCACGCTATTTTTGGATTGGCCAACGCAAAATATCTTATTAGGCGCCGGGAAGCAAGCGGGCATTTGCTAGTACATATATAAGCACAAAATTAAAAATATGTACACGTGTATACATACAATAAAAGTTGGCTCTTTATTTCCGGGCTGGGACGTGTACCGTCGTGCCGGGCCGGGCCGGGCCCCACTAAAATTCTTAATGGTCGGACTCGTGCGTGTTTTTGAAAGTTGATTTTGCACTCGTGCCGGGCCGGGCCAGAAAATTTAGGCCCGTGCCCATCTCTAGTACCAAGTACCGACCAATATTTAAAAGTACCGACTCAGCACATCTCTAATGATTACTGGAAGTTCTTTTGTCGAGTGTGGAGCGTGCTTATGTTATATATAATACTAGTAAGCGCGGGCATACGTTATCCTGCTCCACACGGATACATAGGAAGGTTACATGCATCGTAGATATTATGGGGTTTCACACCGAAGCTTTGTACTCGGCAACTCGGTGTTTGGTAATTTTTTCCCATGTATTTTGTTTGTGTAACACTATTTTACACAAACAAAATACATTAGAAAAATTACCGGGCTCCGAGTTACCGAATACCGAGCTCGGTGTAAAGACCTATATTGTTTCTTCCGTTTCATTTGATATCGAAATTTACAAAAGATTGTTATTATTGTTCACTACGTTTTGAAAAAAAACGATATCTGGTTACATCAGCCACGGGAATGGATTCATTGAAGTTGACTAAGCTATTTCGGAGATTAGCGTAAACGAACACAGTGGCACGGGATTTTTATATATTAAGATTAACTTTTTCCTACTTACGTTTAATTGCATTATGATTTTGTTGTATGCCCAATGCCAACGTTGCTTTGCTGTGACCTCCGGTTTTCTTATCATATGCATGTGCCCGCCGACCACTTCTTCGGTTTCGCCACGCATGAGTACCTTTTTCTTGATTGTGCTCGACAGAGACGGCAGCTCGGACATGGTGTCGTCTTCGTTTTCGATCAATGAGTCGTGACTGGGTCTTCGGCTATTCGGCGAATGCTGAGCCTTACTAAGGCCACTTTTGTTGACGCCAACTTCGCTAAGCAAGACGTCATCTTCGCCCTCCTCCATTATTATGCTATCTTGCTTCTTTATTTGATGCTGATGATGAGAGCTTCCATTAGCGACTGCAGCACCGCTACCAGCGGCTATCTTAGCCGCTGGGGAGCGTGAAGAATGTAAACCATTCGATACTACAGCATTTTCCATAATAACTTGTTTTTCGTCCGGTTCAATTGCTTGTTTTTTCGCTTTAGCACTTGCAGCCGCACCAACAACACTTCCGCTCGAACTTTCATCTAGATAATTGCCACTGTCTTCGCTCTGGTAATTCTCTTCTAAGTATGCATCGCTAAAATCGTCAAGCTGATAGCTGTGTTGCTGTTGTCTTTGTTTGAGTAATTTTTGTTTTTGCTGTTGCTGGTAGAGTAGCTCTTGCTCCTTCTCCAAATATTTATACTCATCTTCCTCGTTGAAATAATCCTCCCTATAATCATAACCACCGTTGGTGTGCTCATAATAACTATTGGCAGCCAACCGTCGCTGATGATCTTGCGACAATTTTTCCTGCTGCGCATCCGACGGTGTCATCTGCAGCTGGGGATCCATGTAGTAATTAGCCTGCTCACTATCGATGTCATAATTCAGCTGTATTTGTCGCAAGCATTGCTGTTTTTGGCTCTGCTCGCAGCCAATACGATCATCAACGATGTACCGACCCAATTCGCTATCACCAACATTATTCAACTCATTTTCGTTCGTTTCGTCGACAATTTCATCGTCATCAAGCAATTCATCGTCGATGCCGATCAAGTGATGTCCATTGGCATCGTTCACATCGTCAACAATTAGATCGTCGTCGTAGATTTCGGTTGGCTGTTGCTTAATCAAAAAGCCCGATTTACTGCTATTGATGGTGGGCAGCTTTTTACCGGTGGATCCAGCTGGTGGCACCGTCGGCAACAATTTACCACTTTGCTGCTGTTGCAATTGGCTTTGATTACCATTCAAATAATAATTTGTAGTCGTTGCTGACGTGCCAGTCGTAACTGCATTATCATTGTAGTGATACACATTTCTATTTTCATAATCATCGCCAATTGCGGTGGTAGCTGAGTACTGGCTTGACATTGAGTTTTGGTGCGATAGCAATTTTTGCTGTTCTTGCTGCTGATGAATGTTGTAATCAGTATTGTGCATGAGCGGATAACCGTTTGTGATTGCTGCCACAGTGGCGGCTGTGGTCCTGTCTGTTGTTATCTTCGACATTACGTCGGTAGTGGTTGTCACTGCTGCTGCGGCTGTTGTTGTAGCTGGTGTAGCTGTCTTTTGTTGCACAACTGTAGTCGCCTGATTGACAACTTGCGTGGCTGATTGCACCGCAGCAGCTGCTTTGCCCAGGAACGAACCAAACATACCACCGGCTGCACCTCCGCCACCACCAGAAGGCTTAGCTGCCGTTGCTGATGCTGACGATGGCTGCAGTGTCGTTTCAGTATTACTATTGTCATTTGCAGGTGGTCGTTGGGTCTGTACTTGTGCAGTAAAATTAGTTAGCGATGGCAAGAGGGAGGAAGTGGCCTTTTTCGCCAAGGACGCAGGGCTCGAAAACTTTGTGGCTTGTTGCTGCTGTTGAGGCAATTGTTCACTGTCGACTTGTTGTTGCGAATGGTTATATGTTGTCATCATATTATCATTGAGCATAGCAGTCGTAGTCACCATACTTCCATCAGCCCCAACAATTTGCATGCCATCAGCTATTTGCTCAGCATAAGTGACATTATAAATATCATCACCAACCATCAAATCTGCCGCGTACTCATCATACTCAGCGTAGCCGTACTCATCATCCACGCCCACATTTAAGTCCGCCACATCGCCAGCGTCGAAACATTCATTGTAAGAGTGACCATTGAAGCCAACTTTTGTGCTATCACTTGTCACCACTACAACAGATGATTGTGATTGTTGTTGCATGTACATGATGTCGTCACCACTAACACTGCCGACGCTGTTGTCGTGCATTATGTTCATTGCATTCAACATCATATCATCGGACTGTATATGCATTTGTTGGCCGTATACTGCGTTACCGCTAACGTCATACGGAGTGGTTTCCACATGGGCCGTGCTATTCGTATACAATGGATCACTAAATTTATTAAGATTAGCACTTCCAGTTTGTTGAAACGTACCATCGAAGGTTACGGCAGCCGAGTTGGTGTAGAAACCATAACTGTTATGGCTGCTAGTACCGTCTTCGACTGTGGCATTTGCTATGCACAAATTAGTAGAGAAACTCGGAACTGTGGTTGCTGTTATGCCGGATATCGTGTCACCAGCATTTAACAGCTTTGCTGTCGCTGTAGTTACTGTAGTCGACGCCGTTGAAGCAGCAGTATCACTGCTTTTACTGGGCTTTACTACGCCAGTCTGTTGGACCGCCGCCGTTGCGCCAGCCAGTAAACCTCCGACGTTCGGCACGAACTTCGATGCCAGACTAAAGCCAAATCCACTATTCTTGGCTGGTTGCTGTTGCGACTGTTGCTTAGCATTGATATCAGTTGTGGCTGTAACAGCGTTAACACCGCTGAGCACGCCATCAAGACCACCTTTAATGCCCTTAGAGATGCCACCAAACATGCTGGTGGCCTTACTGGCAACACCTAACGAGGCAGACGTCGTAGACGGCCCTCCAGTTGCCGTTGTGGTTGCTGTTGTTGATGTTGATGGCGGCAACAGTTTTTTAGTAGTCATATCTCTATTTGTTACTGCATTGGCTGGGCGATAATAACCACCCTGTGTACTGCCACTAACGAGACTAGTACTACCTGTTGTTGCCGTTGCCGTTGTGGCTTCGATGATTGAACTGAGAAATGCTGTTGTTGTCACAGTAGGCTCATAATGTGGCATAACTGTCGTCGCAGTTGTAACACCAGGCAGTTCTGTTTTATCAGCAACGGGTACCGTTAGATCCGTCCAGTCCACATTATAACTGTCGTAAAAGTTGTCATCGAATGCCGAAGCGAGAGACAACGATGTTACTGACGATGCCATACCCTCGGTTGTTATTATTGCAGTTGCACGTTGCTCATCGTCCACAATTTTTGTGGGCTCCAAGGGATAGGGCATGGAAAATACACCACTGTCCAGGCCGTAAGCTGATGTTATTTTAGTCACCGATGTTAAAGCATCGTTTACTATCGCGACACCAGCGTCTGAGCTTATAGTCGCTATTTCTTTTTCCGTAGCGATTTTCGTTGGCAGTCCATTTATCACATTTTCTGAGCTGGCTTCGATTGTCGACGTCGCATTCGTTCTCGCCACCGCGATTGTAGTTGTAGTACATGTTGATTTTGTAGTGGGTATCGTATATGAATCGAAACAGTTATACATATAGCTAAACAATGATGGGTCATAGTCACTCATGTTTGACTTGCTTGTATCACAGTTCAGAAAATCAGTTATATATGCCGGCAATTCGCTTTTAATATCGTTGGCAATGCCACTATCGATATCACCGCTCACGTTCGAAATATACGGGGATATATTTGTTGCAGTTGTTGTTGTTGGCAATTGATATTTTGTCAAATAATCCGCATATGATGTTGGTGTAGTGGTGTCAGTGAAAGAAACGTTTGCTGGCGTTGTGGCTACTATGGCTGTTGTTGTTTCTTTCGCTACTTCAATAGTTGTTGTGAGCAGTCCATCTTTATTATCGCTACTATCACCTATGCTTGACGTGGCTGTGATTATGCTAAGAGGATATTTTTTTAAATAATTATTTGGAGATATGCTGGATTCTATTGCTGAGGAATTCTCAAATTTGCCAGTATCCTCTTCGATTTGCTTTGTGGTAGTCAATTTCGTCAAAACATCTATGGGACTCGAACTTATAAGTGGTGACAATGCAAGCGATGTTGATATGATTTCTTCTGGCGCTTTTGATGTGAATGTTGGGGATGCTAATGAGGCGAATGCGGTTGTGGCTACTTTACTGGCTTTTGAAGTCATAAGACTCGACAAGGATGGAATACCGATTGTGAGTGGTGGTGACGTGGAGGTTGTGGTTTCGATTGTCTTAAATGGCTCAACTGCCGATGTCGCCGTTACAATCGCATCTGATGTTGTTAATGGTATAAAACTAAGATAACTAATTCCGTCCCCCTTGAGGTAGTCATCATAAATGCTAGTTTTACTTATACCACCAATCACACTACTGGACGTATATGTCTTATTTGTGTCCTTGATGCCACTAATACTATCAATACCACTATAACTACATTTAGTACTGTACATGATGCTACTATGTTCCGATGGCATGAAAGTTATATATGATGCCGTTGCTGTTGTTGTTGCAGCGGTTGCCGCATTTTCAGTTGTTGTAATGACTGATGGACTACTATATCTGGTTTCTGGTAATACTGTACACGTATACGATGGCATTGATATGGATGGGGATGGCGATGACGATGTCGGTGCCGATGGCAATGAGGACGAAGATGCCGTTTGCAAAATACTAGCATACGAAGAGGTGGTTGTATTATACTTCATGTAAAAGGGGGGGTCGGATGCATTCAATGAGTATGTTGGTGTTGTTGTTATGGATGTTTTTCTCGCTGGAGAAATTATGGACGTCTCGGTTCTCTGAGAAGTATGCAAATTATTATTATTGAGATGATTTATGTTTGGACCAAAGGAAGTTTCATCGCTCAAGTTGTTATTATTATAAATACAAAAGTAGCTATTCTTTTCACTATAGTCGGAGCTATACGTTGTTCCTGTCATCGTCATCGTTGCCGTCGCCGTCGCAAGATTGCTATCCGTGCCAGTCGCCGCTGAAATGTATGGTGAACTTCCAAAGCTAGGTACTGTTGTCGCTGACATTGTGATTGCTGCGGTGGTTGTCGATGTTGTGGTAGTTACTGCTGTCGTCGGTTTTGTGGCTCCCGCTTCAGACTCACAAATTTTTTGTGGCTGTATTGCAGCAATGGCCAAGGTAGTAGTAGTTGTTGTTGCTGCGTTTGATACATATGACAAATATGAAGGTGAGAACGGTTCTACATATGTTGATGGTGATGCTGATATTGATGTCGGTGCTGATGTTGAGGTTGATGTTATGTAAGCTAATGATTTCGATTCGCTAAATGCGTCTACCGTTAATGAAGGCAATTCACTATTTATTACAGCCAATGTGGTTGATGGCGGTTCTACTGATTTTGTCGTCGATATGGGTGCTATTGGTGTTGCTGCGCCTTGTGTTGGTTCTGTTGTTGTAGTTGTTACAGCAGTTGTTACCCTATTTTTTTGTGCTGTTTTAGATGCAGGTGTCGCTTCCTCATTTGCATCAAATGCAGTTACAGTTGATGTTGTCATCGTATTGCTGTTAGTATCTGGTGTTTGCATATCAATCGGCAGCTTTGGTAGCTTCTTACTCACGCCATTTTCTTTTTTTCGGCTGCCATTTTTTTCACTATTGTACTTTGGCGTTGGCAGACGCTTTGGCAATTTTCTAGTAGTAGTCGTTGGACCAAGTGCTGATGTTGGTGCGACCGCGTTTGATGAAATTTCGGCACTTGTTGTTGGTGTTGTTGTGGTGGCGGCTATTTCCAGCGAAAGTCTGCTTGTGATTGCAATTGAATCCGTCAATTCCGCTGCGATTGGTATTGCTGGCTTAGTTGCTGCTTTATCGGCAATAAAATAGCTGTTCGGCTTATTTGGCGCGATGCTTGCAGTAAAAAGTTTCGACGTTGCCTTGTTGCAGTACGCTTTTTCATGCTTCCGCTCCCCCAAGCTGGTGTCGCTGCTAATGTAATCATAAGCCTCGACTCCTTTTACTGTCGTCCCTGCCATCTCTGGCGTCGTAATCACCGTCGGAGGCACATTCGTTCGCTCCGCTAACATTGTCGCAGCGCGTTCGGTGATACGCTTTACCGGTACACGCGTATCACCTGAAGCAATCACCGAGGCCGTCGTCATTGCCATCATTATGGCATATTTGCGTTGTTGCTGCAAGTGCAGTTTTTGTGCCTGCGTTGCCGTATATGCGGGCGTGTCACTACATGTCGACAAATTGTCGGCGTTACTATTGTATACGTTATTGTATGAACCGCTGTAGTCGTCGAACTCCCTAAAGTCTAGTGGTGTCATCGATGTATGCGGCCGCTGCACTGTCGATGCGTAGTATTCCGTTTTGGAGTCATCCGACCCTGTATAATACGAGAACATTTCGCTGCGTACACTGCCATTGTCGTCATAATTGTTGTAATAGTTTTTTCTTATTGTCGCATTGTCGTATGTATTGTAATCGGTGTCCTCGCTTATAGTTGATGTTGGTGCCGGCGTTGTTATTAAAGCTCCAGCACTACCACCTTCAAATAGCTGCCTTTTTATCACGTTCCCATGTAAAGTCTGGTGACTGTGAAGCTGAGGCAGTAGACGCAATGATGCCGCTCCACTACAGTGGTGCTCATTGAGGCCAACAACATCACCTCGGAAGCGATCAGTAGTACAAGTAGCAGCGCCGGCATTCATTTGCTCAAATTCATTCAAACGCAATGCATCGTAGCCAGCCGAGAGTGCTTGCATTTGGGCATGCAGACGACATTGTGGAGTCCGTGCCGCCACTGCTGCTTGTAACTGCAACGCTGATGGTGTTGTTAGCGGTTGCTTAGCATCATCGCGTTGCGGCTGCATCTTCAATCCACCCATATAGGCGTACATACCATCCATAATGCTCCTGTTTGGCTTTGCCGGTAAGCGTGGCAGCATTTTCATGGTGTAGAGCGTAGAGTGTCTACCGCTGCTTATACTCTCTCCTTTATGAACGTTATTCTCCCAAGATGTATGACTAACGTCCGAATTAAATTCACTTATGTTACCAATGGTCGTGGTGCTGTCGTACATGTTTCTATAGCTAGATTGACCACCTGTACTGTAGCTGTATTCGCCGCTGGTGGTACCGATGCCGCCGTGAGCGGCAGATGTATAACTAATATATGCCTGGCTTTGATAATTCACATTGTCATAGATGGCATAGCCACTGCCCGCATTCAGGGTGCCATAATCATTACCAACTGTCATTGATGCCGCGATTACATCACTGGCTGTTGCGTAGGGTTGTTGCTGCATTATCACGTCAATGCGTCCACTGGAACCGTTAGTGGTGTCACATATGTTAGTATTGCCGTAGCTGTCATATATATCAATGTGATTTTTATATTGGTTATTACTACTTTCTCTACGTAAAGTGCTACTAATTGGTCGGCTATTGCAGGATAAGGCATCGATTTCATTGTTATAATAATAGTTGCTTTGTGAATGAGACTGAAAAGAGACAATTGTTTAGAATATTACTTGCAGTTATGTATGTTCTCGTAATTAACATTAACTTATGTATAAATAATAAAAAAATTGTAATTGTTTATAGGAAAAAGGATAAGTGATGTAATTATACCCGAGCGCACTTGTGCACAAGGGTATTATAACTTTGTTCACATAAGGGTTGTTTGTAACAGGCAAAACGAATCGGGATAGATATAGACAAATTTATAAATAAATGATCAGATTGAAAAGAGAAATCGATTAAGCGGTGACTGTCTGTCCGTCCGTCCATCCGTCTGTGCACACGATAACTCGAGTAAAAATTTCTTTCGGTATTGAAATCGGACTAAAATAACGGCCACTTTCCATACAACGGTAAATTTCGGAAATGCTTGAAACTTCTAACTAAATTTCGAAAATTAAGGAGGCTAACATACTCAAAATTGATACTAACAACAATCCCTTGAAAATAATAACATTGTTTTAGGGATATCAGTGGCAAAAATACATCGATTTTTTGAAATGAAACTTCTTAGGCGGCGTTATCGCAAAAATGGAGAGTGAAATTTTTAAAACTGAAAACGTTACATGAGTGAGAAGGAAGATATAGGTAGTATAGGGAAGGGGAAAAAAGAAATAAAGCGACGCATGACGGGTACGAGTACCTACATATGTATGTATATATTAAACTCCTGCGCGATTCCATTTAAACGGCCTAACAAGACATCCGACCGCCGCGCAAATACTTTCCCTTCTTTACTCTCATCGTTCGGGTCAAGTGTGAGTAAGCATAAACCAGTTTCTGCAAGCGTACGTAAACTACCGATCAATAGCAAGACGCGTAGAGTATTTACTTTGCCTTCCGCAACTACTGCGAGTAAAAGGTATTTGACAGTAGAGTACTCTACTGGTAGTACTTGAGTATTTTCGAAGAAAACATAGATTTGTGGTATCCGAATAAAACTAAGGACTGGAATGTAGTGGAGTGATGAAGAGAGCGACGAGCAAAACGTACTTTCAACTAAAATGCTGATATACATACATACCTAAGTACATATGTATGTATATGCATAGATACGCTGTCGCTTCACTGCAGCAAAACCAAGTTATGGGGAAAACCCTGATGATATGCGTACAATTGAAACCATGGGTTTGAAGATAGCGCAAATTGATGTGAAAATTTCCGTTTCATCTATATATATAATAAAATAATGTAAAAAAAATATTTTTAAAAACAAGCTTTTATTTAACTTGTANCAATTGAAACCATGGGTTTGAAGATAGCGCAAATTGATGTGAAAATTTCCGTTTCATCTATATATATAATAAAATAATGTAAAAAAAATATTTTTAAAAACAAGCTTTTATTTAACTTGTACAAGAAAATTTTGTCAAAACTACACTAAAATGAATAAAATAAAATAAGTTAAGGTCTCGTTAAAGTTACTAAAAGCCATTTAGTGAAAGGAGTTATTCAAACTCTAATGAAAATTACTAACAATTTGTACTAATTTACTTCGTTTTTAAAAAAGCTTGTCGCGCGAATAGCAAACCGGCATTTAAATATCTGCATACATACATATATATACATACCTAGANTTTACATTATTTTATTTTATAATTTTTAGTCCATTTATAAAAGTGTTGTATATTAAGAAGTGTTATTTTATTTTATGTACAAAATTTTGCAATAGATATTAAAATAAATCAACTTGCAATGAAAGAGAACAGAAGACTTGGCAAGCAAAATGTTGTTTGCTTACGTTTTGTATAAACATACATAAGTACATATAACAGCAGTTAATTTTATTTAAAGAAATGGCGTGTCGTCCATTTCCGCTGTAGCATGGCATATATTTAGGCGCAATATTTAACTGCTTGCGGCGGGGCGACATCTGGAGTCTTCTAATTCCTAGAACGAGGTTCATATCTAGACTAGGTTGATATTTAGAATTTGCTACAAATAGATTTGCTACACTATCGCCGGAAGGTTTAACAATTTTATAGTGGTTTTACGTTCTTTGGCAAATTACGCTCTGTTAACCATAAATCTTACTATTTTTTGATCGCGTATGAATCAAGACCCCTGGACTATATGGGGAATTCATTTATATATTAAATTGCATTGTCATCGTGATTGGAACTATGCTGAAAATTTCAAGTCTCTAACTTGTCGGGAAGTCAGTTTAAAATCGATTGGAAATTTCCGCGATTTGCGCGGGATGACCAAGTTAAATAAAAGCTTATAATAAAAATGAATGTTTGTCTGTATGTCCTTTATAGACGTCAAAAGTACCCAACCGATTTTAATGAAATTTTTACGGTAGGTGCATATAATCACTAGGAGTATTATAGAACAAAACTAATGTCGATAGGTGGCGCTCCAGTCGAGATATTTCTAAAATCCGTATTTACGGTCCGATTTGCTTAAAATTCGGTACGCAGGTAGCTTTTTAGCATATATTAGCATAAATGATACCTTTTTCCGAGAAGTTGAANTATATGCAAATAAATTAAAAAAAGTCGAGAGTCGAAAGTGAAAAGCCGACTTCAGTCGACTTCCATAAACAGAAAGTCGATCACTAAAATTCGACTTTCAGGATTAAAAAGTCGATTTTGGTCGAAAGTCGAAGTCAAATTCAACTCTCAAAGGTACACACCAACATGTTGTCTCAACTGATCCATTTTTTCTGAGAACTGGACCAGGGACCGATCTNTAAATGATACCTTTTTCCGAGAAGTTGAACAGGGACCGATCTATTCGAAAAAATCGTATTTATGGTCCGATTTGCTTAGAATTCGGTACGCAGGTAGCATTTTAGCATATATTAGCATACATGATCCATTTTTTCTGAGAACTGGACCAGGGACCGATCTATTCGAAAAAATCGTATTGACGGGCCGACTTGCTTAAAATTCGGTACGTGGGTAGTTTTTTAGCATATATTAGCATATATGATCCATGTTTTCCGAGAAGTGGACCAGGGACCGATCTATTCGAAGAAATCGAATTTATGGTCCGATTTGCTTAAAATTCGGTACTTAGGTAGCGTTTTGCCTGGATAAGCTTATAGATTCCTGTTTTCCAGTTTTCATGCAATTTCGAATATAAATAGCTTTGAGCAACCACCATCAAGAGGCGAATTCGTCACTAAGCAAGATATTTTTGCGCCCATCAGAAACAACGGATACTGTCAAAATATAATTATAATCTATATATATATAAATGAATGTTTGTCTGTATGTCCTTTATAGGCGTCAAAACTACCCAACCGATTTTAATGAAATTTTAACGGTAGGTGCATATAATCACTGGGAGTATTATAGAACAAAACTAATGTCGATAAGTGGCGCTCCAGTCGAGATATTTCTAAAATCCGTATTTACGGTCCGATTTGCTTAAAATTCGGTACGCAGGTAGCTTTTTAGCATATATGATCCATTTTTTCCGAGAAGTGGACCAGGGACCGATCTATGCGAAAAAATCGTATTTACGGTCCGATTTGCTTAAAATTCGGTACGCAGGTAGCTTTTTAGCATATCTTAGCATATATGATCCATCTTTTCNGGACATTCACTATAGAACCGGGTTGTTGCCGCCAGGGAGTGAAGAGGAAAAAATTTATTTCGCTTTGCGAATAACCGTGCTATAAAATGCCGCACAACTGGAGAATTTCAAGAACTTCTTCACGGATATAACACTTTCCTTAGGTTATTTAAAGCGGCAAATGACCACCAAACCATAATCTTAGCAGACGAATGCGCCTATGAAAATCGTAAACGTGAATTGTTGGTGAAAATGTTGGACCAAAAAGTTTCAATAAAATATATAATAATTTTAGGCGGGACGAAGTCCGCCGGGTCTGCTAGTATNTGGATAAGCTTATAGATTCCTGTTTTCCAGTTTTCATGCAATTTCGAATACAAATAGCTTTGAGCAACCACCATATCAATGGGCGAATTCGTCACTAAGCAAGATATTTTTGCGCCCATCAGAAACAACGGATACTGTCAAAATATAGTTATAATATATAATATATCTCATTTAATATATATTTTGAAAGCCGTTTTTTAGTTTTCGCAAGGCTCGAGAGCGGCTGAACCGATTTTTATGAAACTGCCACCTGCCGCACGTATCCCAAGGATGGTTTTAAGCTAAAAAAAAAATCAATATGTAAAGGGGGCGTGGCACCTCCCATACCAACCGAATTTATCATGCTAAATATCTCTGAAAGTGTTCATGGTAGAGTTCTGGAACTTGGTATGGAGATATACGAAATCAATCGCATACTGTGGGAGAAACTTATTGGAACTATTGGAAAAGGGGGTGTGGCATCTTCCATACAAACCGAATTTTTCATACTGCATATCTTTGGAAGTGTTCATGGTAGAGTTCTGGAACTTGGTATGGAGATATACGAAATCAATGGCATACTCATGAAGAAAAAGGGCAGCAGTTGGAGAGGGCACCTCCCATATAAATCGAATTTTTATACTGCATAGGTCTGAAAGTATTCATGCTACAGTACTGGAACTTCGAATGGGGATATGTATGTAGTTGAAATCAAGCCCATACTCATGGAGAAAATTTGGGATATTTGAAACGTACAAACGTACCGACCTTTAGCTATCTTTGAATGTATTTATAATTCTTCTGTAGGTGTGTTTGTGAGTGAAATCCTCCTAAATGGTTGTACGGATTTTAACGAAACTTTTTGTGTGTGTTTGAGTGTGCCTCTGGATGGTTTAGTTTCACAATTTAATGCGACAGTTGGCGCTGTAGTTGAGTTATTACTAAAAATCTTATTTATGATCCGATTTGGCCAAATATGTATGCAATACTATTGCAAAAACGTGCTGCCAAGTGGTGCTGAAGTCAAGTTATTACTAAAAATAG